CCCCCGCCGGCCCCCGCCTGGGCCAGGGCAGCCGGCTGCAGGAGGATCAGTGGGCCAGCCCTGTGCAGAAGACCCGGGGGTATGGCCCAGATTTCAACCGTGAGGCCAGCAAGCCCCTCTCCGCCTGCGCCTCCTCGTCCTCCTGCCAGCTGGAGGCGGCCCCCAGCAAGCCCGGGAAGAAGGCGCCCAAGAGCGGGGGATGGCAGGACGCGTCCGAAAGCAGCAGGGCAGCCGGCTGCAGGAGGATCAGTGGGCCAGCCCTGTGCAGAAGACCCGGGGGTATGGCCCAGATTTCAACCGTGAGGCCAGCAAGCCCCTCTCCGCCTGCGCCTCCTCGTCCTCCTGCCAGCTGGAGGCGGCCCCCAGCAAGCCCGGGAAGAAGGCGCCCAAGAGCGGGGGATGGCAGGACGCGTCCGAAAGCAGCCCAAGCCTGAGTGACCTGATATACTCCTTTGCCAGACAGGAAGAAGATGAAGACGAAGAGGATACCCAGGCTGAAAACCATTACCACAACCGCAGCGGCCACCATCCATCGAGGTCAAGACGGAGGGAGCCCCAGGTCAGCCTCCACGATCTCACTGATAAGAGATATGAGGACTTAATCCCTAAAAGGGACCGAAAGATCGCAGCTCTGATGCTGGCCAGGCATCGGGATGATCAGGAGCTAAAAGAAAGGCAGCTGCAAACGTCTGAGACCTGGGATAAGATGAGAAGGCGGGAAAAGAAGCTCAAATCAAGACTGGAGAAAGAAAGGCAGCACCATCTTGCTGAAAGCCTGGAAAAGTGGCAAAAGGACAGAGAGCACCGGAAAGCCAGGGTCAGGCTAGAAGACCAACATCTTTTGAAGGCCCGGGAGAAAGAAATGATGTCACAGCAGAAGAAGTGGGAAAAACTAGCCCAAGAGCAAGAAATGATGCGGAAGGAAAAACTTGAAAGAACTAAACTCCAGGCTGAGTACAGAAAATACTGTCAAGAAAAGCAACTGAAAGAGAAAAGGTTAGCTGAGAAAAGTGCTAAGCAGTACAATTATAATCTATTAAAGGAAAAAATGGCACAAGCCTTTGAAAAAAGACTGTTGAAAGAAATGGAAGGGAAGAAAAGGAGTCAAGATCTGAACCAATATGAAAAAAACAGGCACCTGAAAGCAAAAATGGATCACCAAGTCAAAGCTGATGAGCTTTATAAGAGGCTTTCTATAGAACAAAAGCTTCAAAGATCTCAAGAAATCCTTGATCAGCTGATGGAAGAAAGGAACAATGAATTAAAGGAAAAATCTCTAAGGGATGAAGAACAAGGCCTATTGGCCAAGTTTAGAGCAAAAGAGACAGAGGAAGAAAAAAGAAAGCGTAAAAATATGTTGCTGCAGATAGCGGAGATGAAGATTCAGCAAGCTCAAGAAATGATGTCTAAAAATATCCAAGACAAAGCACAACGTAGCAAGGAAAATAACTATTTAAAAGAAATAAAGCACCAGTTTCGAAAACAAAAAGTTGAAGATGATGAAAAATGTCACCTCCGGGAAATTCAGGAAGCCATCAAAAGGAAAGATGAAAAAAGCAATAGGATTTTAAGGGGTAAGGAAGCTGCTGTGGAAGACTCTAGAAAAATAGCAAGAGCATCTTATGACTTGAGAGAAAAAGTGAGAGAACTGATTAATAGTCATTCGTTTGACTAGATGGCTTTAAGAGTCCATACAGAGCGAGTCTTCTTAAAGGGATCTAGAAACACTTACTTAAAAAGAAAAATTGCAAGCATTCTTGTGCTAAAAAGATAGTTTGCATTCTTACTGTGACTTGCTTAGAATTCTGCACTGTATGACACTAAAATGGTTTCACCCTTAAACTTGGTGTGTCTCATAATACACTGATCATTTTCTGTACGATTATGGCCTAAACAATTTGATAGTGTTTATTTAAAGTGAACACTTTTGCAATTGTATTGTTTGTAAAGTAAAAATATCACCTGGAATCTGTGTTCTCTGAAAGCTGTGTGCTTGAGGGTCTGCTCAGAAGAGATTCCTATACTGCCCAGATGATTAGCAGAATGCCCACAGTTAGGTTTTTTGTTTCTACTCCTGGTGTACAATCGAAAAAGCCTTGGTGCAAATAAAAAAATATTCTGCTCATGTTTTGAAAAAATCTGCATATTGATGGAAAAGGTTAGTGGGAACATTGTCTGGAACCTATGTTTAATGAATGTAGAACATAGATCTTGCTGAAATCCTAAAAAAGTCACAAAAGTATTAATACTATCTCACTGCAAGCACACAGTGTGGAACAGACTAAGATACCTGTCTTAGTCTACATTTGTAAAGCATCTTACAGTATTAATGCTATATAAATCCATGATAATAAAAACAGATTTACTGATTCTAAGAAGTGAATAATTCAACATCCGCAAATACTTGGGGTTTTTTCTGCCTTCAGTCACTTACTAAATACCCTGATCACACTATATATTCAAATAATGTATGGATGCAGGTATTTTCTGACTAAAAGGGCTTGGATACAGTGGAGTTCTTAGTTGCCACTATTAATCAGAGAGAGAGAGAGAGAGAGAGAAAGAGAGTCATCTTTAAGGAATTTTAAAGCCCAAAATAAATTTCAATATTGCTTTTGTTTAAACATTTGTTATAATTCTGCCACAGGCCTGCTCCTTCAATCTGCAGAAATCCCTATGATTAAAGACTGGTAAAGATACATAAGGCCTTCCACTTCCAGAATATTATGAATTATTCTCATTGGTAAAATTATCAGTGGTCAGTTTTATTTCTCAAACATTTATTTAATCAATACTATAGAAATACGCCACATAATTCGTATACTAAATTCAATTCTAGTAATATCCAAATCAGCAATAAGAGTAATTATTTTGGAAATATTCTGTATGTATTTTAACATGGAATAATTTTATTTTTCCTAAATTGTAGATTTTTGTGATGAAACAGTCTTTTCATCTTATAGAATACTACTGAACCTTCACTATTTCTTATAAATATATTAATAATTGCATATATAAGATTTAAGATAAAATTAATATTTTCATAAGAAAGGGATAGAAAATAAGACACAGAATATCTTACTGCCCCTGTATAAAACTATGGTACGCACACATCTTGAATACTGTGTACAGATGTGGTCTCCTCACCTCAAAAAAGATATTTTGGCCTTAGAAAGGGTTCAGAAAAGGGCAACTAAAATGATTTGGGGTTTGAAACCGGTCCCATATGAAGAGAGGCTTAAGCGACGGGGACTTTTCAGTTTAGAAAAGAGGAGACTGAGGGGGGATATGATAGAGGCATATAAAATCATGAGTGGTGTGGAGAGGGTGAATAAAGAAAAGTTACTTATTAGTTCCCATAATAGAAGAACTAGAGGACACCAAGGCTGTGTCTAGACTACATGCCTCTGTCGTCAGAGGCATGTAGATTAGACACATAGGCAAAGTCAAATGAAGCCGCGATTTAAATGATTAGCCAGGAGATAGAAATGGTGTCCCTGGCCTCCGTTTGTCAGAGGCTAAAGATGGATGGCATGAGATAAATCGCTTGATCATTGTCTTCGGTCCACCCCCTCCGGGGCACCTGGTGCTGGCCACTGTCGGCAGACAGGCTACTGGGCTAGATGGACCTTTGGTCTCACCCAGTACGGCCATTCTTATGTTCTTATATATGTTATAAAATGAAACTAATGTTTTCTATAACAGTAGCAGTTTAGAAATTGCAGGGATAGTGATTTGTGTATCTAATAGCTTTCCCTTCTTCTTTCTTTGTGTTCTCTCAAAGGAAATGAAAGTCTCACAGTCCAGTTTAAAAAGTTAATATAATATCAGAAGTGTAGGTGTACAACTTAGCTTCCAGCTCAGCATTATTCTAATATGAATAGGGATTTAAGTCCATACCCAAATTGTAAAACTTGATGTAGTAGACCACCTAAGAATAAAATTGTATTAATATTAGCAAACTATCAGAAATGAATATATATTTTTATAAAATTTCTGGGACAGTGAATCATATCATTAATATAGTAATTTTTTCTTACTGTATAGCCTCTTTCCTACTGTGTTTATATATCTGAATTTACAGGGCTTGACAAGCGGCGGTGAACCCCGCTCGCCAGCCGCACAGTTTGGCACGCTGTGCATACGCAGACCGCACTGTGCATGCGCTGATCGCGCTGCAGTGCTGTGCTGGCTTAAAATCTACTCGCCCCCGGTGAGTAGATTGACTAATTTGTCAAGCCCTGTGAATTTATATCATATGCGCTGTGAATGATTTTTATTTTTCATATTTACAGCATGCTAGACATCAAAATAAAACATATTATTATAGTGAGAAAGAAGGAAATGCCTTGGTATAATACTTCAAGTAATTATGTAAAACAAGATAGAACAACCTGCATTTTTGGGTACAAAATACCAGCCCACCTGAAGTCCTGTGATGAGGGTTCTACTCACTGCTTGATGGCACTGCCTCTTGGAAGTTCTGGTTCTCCCTGTCAGGAATACCATCTGAAACTCCCTCCGCCCAGGGACTACTGTCCCCTGTAGCCTCAAACACCCCTCTTTTCTCCCAAGGAGTAATTGCAAACTGCTTCCCTGCGGTCCCCTTCCTATTCCTATTGCTAGCTTCCTGGCTTTATAAATATGGCCCAACTTTTCCCCAATTGGACTTGATTAACCAATTAGGTTTTTTTCGTGCACCTTGACTCTCCTCCAGGTGCAGCCTAAGGGTTAATTGACCTAATACACCCCTTCAGCCCTTGTGTATGGTGGATACACCATCACAGGTACAAAACATTCCCACTGTTTATGTGTGTGTTTCTTAGCCACTGGCAGGCTGGGAAAAATCCCATTAACCAGAAACTAGGATAAAAAGAAATAGCATCTTGGCAAGTAAAAGTGTTCGATTTCCTGCTTACCAGAGGCAAGCTAAAGACAGGCAAAATTTGTGGCATCACCTTGGAGCTGACAGTCATAGGAGACATTGAAGAAGGAGGAGGAGCTGAGTGAACCGAAATAATTTAGCTGGCAGCCAGAGAGGGATGGATTTAATTCATATCAGCCACACAAGTAAAAGGTTGGAAGTAGAGGTTGGAAGAAAGGTTGAATCATAATTTGAAGTTCACTGTGAGTCCTGATGACAGGGGTTGGCGTGGAGGTAGTGGAGTCTGGGTCTGGACCTGTCAACTAAGCATTGCCAAAAAGGCAACAACAACAACAAAGCTGCCCAGGGAAAATTAGTGCAGTGACTTTTGGAAGCTTGCCACTTAGCAGAGATGCTATAATGCACCTTTGAATTTGATTAAGAGGAGAGATAAAACATCCAAGCTTCGGACACTTTTTGACAGAAAATCAAGTCGCAAATTATTTCTCTGAAATAAATAAACTACGACTAGAAAATATGCTTCTGTTGCAAAACATGATTTGATATAGGAGTGAAATGACCTAGCTAGTGCTATGTTTTACCTTTACAGTTGCAAACATAATTGCTCATGCTAGCATCAGACTAATCTGTAAATCACACACACTATTTAAAAAAGATTAGTATCAAAACTATACAATAGTCAGTTAATTTTTTAAATGTACTGAACATATCTAATCAGACCACTGAAGGATTTAGTGAAACCTTTCTTTCCTACTAGTTTTGGTTGAAATTAGTCATATTCGGTCAATTTTCTAAACAATGAGTTGACACCACCAGTCCTGTTCTGCCGACTTTAAGGGCTGTTAAAGTCAATTTCAGTACTCCTAATTGTCAAGAGGAGTAATAGCAAATTGAACCTTCCATAGTCAATTTTAGAGAGTGCATCTGCAGTGCTATGGAAGTTAATTATCTTGGACTCCACACCTCAGTGCCCCGGTGTGACCACTCTGGCCAGCACTTTCATCTCTGCCACTCTTCAGGAGCACAGGAAAAGCCATGAAAAAATTGGAATTCCATTTCCTGTTTGGCCAGTGTGGCAAGCAGAGCAGGCAACACACTTCAGCAGCATATCTGATCATGAATGTCCAGGGGTACAAATGAACTCCAACATGTAGATCCTGGCTGTGATTACTGTGTAAGGAGAGGAATCTGTCCAGGCAGAACTATGAAGCAGTAGAAGAAACACTGATATCTATGCCAAAATCGCACAGGATTGAAAAAGGATACACCAGGGACACCCAGCAGTCTCTACAAAAAAGGATAAATGGACACAAGTCAGATATTAGAAATGGTAATACACAAAAATATTAGAATGCATTTTAACCTATCTGGGCATTCATTAATGGATTTAAAAGTAGCCATACTTCTACAAAGGAATTTTAAAAACCAACTACAGAGAGAAACTGCAGAATTGGCCTTCATAAGCAAATTTGACACTATCTCTCATGGCTTAAACAAAGACATGAACTGGATGGGGTATTATATTCAACACTCATTTGGCATCAAAAGCTAAGTATCGGACACTTCCAGCCCACTCAATTAGCCTCATTAGCACCGGCACTACAATTGACAAGTACTCTTTTACTCCGCTTTTCTTTTATAAATTGTGAGGTTCTCCCTTTTTTCTCCATTCTGCTCATCTGAGGAAGTGGGTTTTGCCCACAAAAACTCAGGTGATTTTGTGTGTGTGTGTGTGTGTATGTGTGTGTGTGTGTGTGTACACTTGCTCTGTAGTTCAAGCGAGGGGTGCAATGTAGGCAACCGAAATTGCTAATGAAGCTTCATTAGCTTGATCTTTCCGGCGTGTTACTCCGCTCAACAGCTGATTCAAACCAGGAAGTGTGCACCAAGACTCATTTTTTGATTCCACATTTTGACTCCATACAGCTGCCTGATGATAAAGAAGAATTAGTCTGCT